CGAGATAATCGACGTCAGCTGGTGAGGCAGTGCATGTATATGACAAGATGGCGATAATGACGATCTTAGAAACGTAAGCACGCCCCCAACACGAGAAAGCACTCTAAGGAGAATTGGAAAAAACTAAAGGTTGCGCAAAAATACATATGTACGGTGAAGTATTAGGCGTGATGGCACACTTCACCGTTTTGCTCGTACGCGCGTGCGTGTATACGTTGGCGAGTTCAGTTTCTCTCGCGCGAGCGCTTTTGGCTCTGCGCCAAGAGTTCGCCACGTATATATATGCAGCGTGGATCTGTGCTGCACACACGGCGAACTTTTTGCACGCGGTATTCTCGACAGTCTTTCACGGCATCTACCTCGAAGACACTTCCTGGGATATCAGACAGCGGGGAGACCTTAGTGCCGTGCGTGCAATACATTGTGTCTTTCCGTTCCTACTGTGACCTCCTTATTCCAACTGCTTCTTTTCAAAGCGCTGGTTAGCCACCCCCTTTTAGATACATTTAGTAACATTCATACATTTCTTTATTTTTTCCCTTATGTTTCTATAATGACTCGCTATACAGCGCACAAAAAAAAAGCGCTTGTTCCGCCTGTATTGTCTTCCTTCACCGTGTGCGTAGCACTTGACGTTACTCAATTGCAGCTCACAAATCCACTTATTTTGCAGGAAACGCATGTCTCCTCGTGACATGAACATTATGTTCACTGTGTTTTTCGCTTTTCGTGTTTCCCTTAAGCTGAGTTAGGGTAGTAAAGTAAGCGTCAGTCCGTCTGACTTCATCTATCTATCTATCTATCCATTTATCTATCTATCTATCTATCTATCTATCTATCTATCTATCTATCTATCTATCTATCTATCTATCTATCTATCTATCTATCTATCTATCCATGCATTCACTGTGTTCTTCGCTTTTCGTGTTCCCCTTAAGCTGAGTTAGGGCAGTTAACTAAGCGTCAATCCGTCTTTCTTCTATCTATCTATCTATCTATCTGTCCACCCATCCATCCACCCATCCATCCATCCATCCATCTATCCATCCATCCATCCATCCATCCGTCCATCCGTCCATCCGTCCATCTATCCGTCCATCTATCCGTCCATCTATCCGTCCATCTATCCGTCCATCTATCTGTCTAGTTGTCCATCTATTCATCCATCTATCTATATACCGATCTGTCTATCTATCTACGAGTGGGTCGGTGAGTGTGGTCTCGGCGCAGCTAGAGTCTGACCCGCCTTCACACAGTTGGGTGAAACCTAATCAAACGTAAACAACCATCAGCAACGAACGATTGTCGTCGCGTGCGCTCAACAGCCTGCGCAGTGGGACGAAAGTAAAAACAGAAAGCAAAAAAAAACAAGTGATTACTCCAGCACCATGCGTTGTAGGACAAAAATAAATCAAATTAACAAGCAACTACCACTCCACCGATTTCCAGAGACGCGCGCATACGTGCACGAGCGCGCTTCGGATAACACCCGGAGGCACGCACACATGTTGGCTCAGCAACGCGCGGCTCATTCAATCAGCGATTGGTGTATACCGTATAGTCATCTATCTAGTCAATCGGAGTCTTAGAAGAAATCGAATCGTGGCGGTGCGCGCACGCCAAAGAGTCGTTTTCCGCCACCCGTTTTCCTTTAGCTCATCTCTCTGTGTCTCTTTCGTGTTTTCTGTTGTTTTTTTCTTTTCTGTCTCTCTATTGTAAACGCTACGAAACCGCGCCCACGCTGACTCCGTAGAGTACGCACTCGCGTTCCAGAGAATCCGCGCTCTGGGATGTCCGTCGAGGGTCGAGAATTGTTCTTCAGCCATGGGAACCATATGCGGGCGAAGGAGTAGGGATGTTCGTGCATTCGCAAGCAGTTGGCGGGCAATTGGCAGCGTTTCATCGCTCACTTTCTTCCCATATACGGACTATTTTACATTCGACCCGTGGGAGCCTCAACCTTGGGCTGACAAACGAATGTTTTCTTATTAATATTTTTTTTTCATAATGTGCCGTAAATTAACAACGTCATCAAACGGCGAATGCACCTACCCGACCATTTTCGAGCGCACCCATCTACGGTATACCCACGGCACGATTAGCGACCCAATGTAGCAGCAAAAAAAAATTCATCAAATGTATACATATAGGAGGAGTATGAATGGAAAGAAGGGTGGGAACGTGAACCAGAGATGCTCGCGGTTTGCAGCCCTACGCTGGAAAAAAGGGGATAACGGGATGGAAAGAAAAAAAGATGGAGAAACGTGCTATCAGGGCGAAGCATGTGCACCTGTTCATTGGTACGTGAGGTTTAACGTCCCAAAACCACCATATGATTATGAGAGACGCCGTAGTGGAGGGCTCCGGAAATTTTGACCACATGGGGTCCTTTAACGTGCACCCAAGTCCGAGCACACGGGCCTACAGCATTTCCGCCTCTATCGGAAATGCGCAGCCGGAATTCGGAAATGCGCAGCCGGGATTCGAACCCGCGACCTGC